ATACGTTTGAATGGAACTTCCGAGATTTATGTACATTGTATCATATACTCAAGTAGCTTAAGCATCCAAAGGCATCTCACATATTAACACATTTCTTTTTTTAAATATTTTTCTATATAACAAAAAACATACCCCCTACCTTATAATACATGTGACTTTATTATTAACTAGAGGTATTGTGAGCGATGAGCTCACTAAATGATATCCCCCGCCTCCAAATAGTTATAATATGTAATTGTAATGAAGATTCTGTCAAAGTTTCATTAAATTTCATTCAGTGGTATGAGAGGAGTCGCGGATAAGAGATAGGTACCCCCAGTCGTAACAGACGGACGGACGGAAGGACAGACGGACGTACAAACGGACGGAATTAACGATTACTATATACCCTCCCGCTTTCTAGCGGGGGTATAAATATGGGTATATATTATTTTGTTAAAAGAAAAATAAGTAACGTAAGGTGCCCTCGAAGCATCTGTTAGATGGATTAAAAACAGTATACAGTGTATTACATGTAGTTCAAAAGCAGATATAGTAACATCAGACTTTTTCCTCGATATTGTTTCTCGATATAGATGTCTTTTGATTTAAGATGATATTTGAATTTCATATTGACTCATTTTTATGTAAAACATAGTTCAAGACCTTTTTTTCATAAATCATCTGTATAAGGTTTTTATATCTACCTACCGTTTCGATATACGAGAGGTTACTCTCTGTCTGTCTGTCTCAGCTCCCGTGTGTAGAAGATCCAGCTTCCCGTTGATACCATTCGGTAGTAACCTGGAATTTCTTGGAAGTAATTGGAAACATTAAGAATTTCAAGTACTTCCATGTCATTCGGAAAATTTATTTGGAAAAATCTTAACTCAATTTGGAATCTACTTGGAACCATTTGAAAGTGCAGAAATTTAACTTAGTCTGTATAATGAACAGATGTTATTTTATCAGCTGATCGGGGTCGAGGTCTTTTCTCGGGCTCGTCCTCGTAGATTTTGAAACTAGGCGGTTCAAACCTAAACATTGTTGCATCCGAGTTGCATCATAATCACGTTGAAGGGATTATAAATCTTCTTGTGTAGTAATGCAAAGGACATAATTATGTTACATTTTTAGGTGTGTGACAACTCCATGTTTGGTATTTTCATCTTCCCTTAGAAAAACAATTACATTAGAAGACAGTTTCAAGTTGAAAATAGCTGAAACTGAAGTGTGTGACAAGTGCGTTTCAATATTTTTGGAATTATTTATTGCCACGATACATGTGCCTGACGATAATAAAACGTGTTTGACTTTTATCATTTCCGTATAAGTTCATGAACCTAGCAAATACCTTAATTACCTGTATTGATCTTTTAATTTAACAGGATAGTAGTTTACCAGGAAGGTTTGTCTTTTATAAATACATTGAATAAAAATATCATTAAATGATGCCAAGAGAATAATGTTTTTTGTGAAAATTTATTTTCAAATGGTTGGTTGTTTGTTATCTAAATAACATGTATTAATATATGCCAATAAAATCTATGCTTTGATTTTTTGAATTTAGTTATTCGGAAGTCATTTGGAAGTAACTATAATTACCCAGATAGCATGACTCCGTTGGGCCAACGTTGGTTTTTGGTTGTATGGTTGGTGGAGTTTTTGGGGAACGTATGTGTTTAACGTTCATTTACGTTGGCATGAAATCAACCAACGGTGTTGGACATTTTTCATGTGGATCCAACGTTCATTTACGTTGGCATGAAAGCTATACCAAGGGTGTTGGGCATGTTAACATTTCACGTTCATTTTTTTAAAATATTGGACAACGCATAATCAATCGTTCATTTACGTTGGCAGAGCTATACAGGGTGTTGGGCATGTAATACGTTTCCAAAGTTCATCTACGTTGTCATGAAAGCGAAACCAATGGTGTTGGGCATGTGATGTTGGCCCATTGTAGTATCATGTTGACAAGAAACATAGCGACTTTGTGTTGGACATTAAAATGTTGGCCCAACATAGGTCCAACCAAGTAAATGTTGACATGGATTAAGACCATTGTGTGTTAAATATGAAATGTTTTCTAACTGAGTACATAAGTGGCAAAACATTGCCACTTATTGTTGGTTATTAATGTTACATGTTGCCCAGTTTAATAAATATTGAAATATAATGATACATTGCTCTGTGTTGGGCGTGCTTGACTGATGAACTGGAGTTGGCCTCCAAATAGAATTATAATATGTACAGTTAGCCTGTAATGTTTGATAAAATGCTGGTCCAACGTTGGCCCAATGTTCGAAAAGTATTCATCAATTTAGATTTTCATTGTAAATCGATGGTAATGTAATAAGCAACTCATTATAAACATGTGATCTATATTATATATTGAATGGGAATTATGAGACAATCCTTATAAGTCTGTGAAATACATATAGTAATTTTATATCTTGGTAGATTCTATATTTAGCATCATTGAATCAAATTTAAAGTGCTGTGTTTTGCAAGTTTGGGGCTCCAAAATAAATAGGTCACTGGTGAAATTCACTGGCTCGGCAGGTGTATAGGTCTCCAAGGAAACCGTATAAATATTTTTTTGCACTTTAACAATTCAAAAATGTGTCTGTTTAAGTGAAAGCAAGAATTTTAATCCTTTCAATGTAAGTATAGCTTTTGTTTTTGTTATTGAAATAATTAATAATGTGAAATACACAACAATGTAATGGCCTGCATGTAGGCTTTCAAATTAGGGTATGTGTAAAACACGAAACGAGAAACAAGAAACGAGAAACAATGAAATGAGATTCAGGTTAAAATAACTAATGACCTTAAAATGTGTTTCTTGCACTTTTGATTTCATTTTGTTAGAAAACAGATGCAGAGTGAAATGAATTTCATATTGACTGATTTTTATGTAACAACTATCTGCACAGAAAAACCCTAAAATTCAGATTTAATTAATACAATACTGTTATCTAAGAGAAATTTCAGTTTTTGCTTGAAATAATAAAGTTGTCATCAAATGATACAATTTTTGCTTTTAATGATTCTGTTGTCATTAATTGATTTCATTAATTAATTGAGGTGAATTTATTGTAATGTTATAAGATATAGCTTTCCTAATTACAATTTTAACATAATAATATATATATACTAGTACATCATGTTCATATTAATGTTTTTTAACATATATATACATTGTATAACAGATATATGAATGTTTTGTTTATAAATAATGTGAAATTATTTAATGTTTTATTTATTCTTTGGTTATGAAACAATCAGATAATAATTTAAGGTGACTATTAAAACTTTCAGTTGATATCTAATTAAAGCTGTCATGGCTTGATGGGTTTAGCAGTGCAAGAAATGTTTCACTCAGCATCTGTTTTCTAACAAAATGAAAGCACAACAGATGTTATTTTTATCATTCTTTTTTTTTTAATTCTGTTGTTTCGAGTTTCTTGTTTCTCGTTTCGTGTTTTACACATACCCTTCAAATTATTGGTACCAGGTAGCTGATTAAACAATTGTAATTGATGACGACCTTAACTTTTATAGGAATTGGCGGGCTTGAACAGAGCAGATATGTCCGGATTGAACGCAAGAATTAACCAGTGAAATGTAAGTAACTATTTTGTATTTGTTATTAATAATTACTAATGTGAAATTCAATTTTAAGGATTCCTTTAAAAATATGTGTGATGTGATGAACATTTGAAAATACTATTTTAATTGTGACAATCTTAACGTTTGAAGGAATTTGGAAAAACCCTCTTCACTCTGAGACTATTGATGTGGCATTTCTGTATATGGAAGGGACTGATTTATATGTGTGGGAAACAATAGAACAGATAAACAACAGAAAAAGTGTGTGATGCAAATATGTCCTTTCAAAATATTTTTAGAACTTACTCTTATATCAAAGTGATATTTAGTAGTGGACATAGTTATGTGGAGTGTACTTAGAAACATTGAACTTTCTACCTTTTTCTTTTATACATTCCATGGAATACTTTAATGAAAGTGAAAGTGGCAAAGAATATATTGTGATACATTTTAGGAGGAAAAAAGTATTACAAACATGGTGAAATTAATCTTTTAATTGGGAAATAAAAAACAGAATTTAATTAATTTTGTAAGACATTTGTATTGAGGAATAATTGTGTTATGATATTTCAAAATCAGCTTTGAATAAAAATATAACTATATTTTGAAAATGATGCCAACGTTACAAAATATTTGTTTTTTGTGAAAATTGGCATTTCAACAAAAGCGTTGTTGTTTGTTATCTAAATAACATGATTATATTAATATATGCCAACGTTAAAAAAATATTGCGTTGGCTTTGATTTTTTGAACAAACAGTATTGTACCAAGTTATGCGCGCCAATGAGCAGTAAGTCGTAAAACTGCCAACATTGGGAAGTGGCCAACGTTATAATTATCTGGGTACTTGGAAGTCATTTGGAAATTTCTAGAAGGAAAAATATGAATTTTCGTAATTCGGAAACAACTTGTAAATCATTTGGAACCGTTTGAAAATTTAAGAATTCCAAGTAATTTACTTGGAAATTCCAAATGCAACTTGGAACTTCTACATGTGGTTAGTACGATCAATTTCAAAACGAAGCTTATATAAATTGATATACAGAGATTAAAATACAACCTCGTTCAAAAAGTCATTATTTGGCTATCATTGAATCCTGTTTTGGCTTACGTTTTATACCAATTGCAGGGGCCTCGATTTTATATTGACTTTAGAATCCTCTGTCTACCAGATCAATATATAGTAGACACATCAGGGTAGTCGGGCGTCAGGGGATGTTTACATTTTCTAGGCACCTGATCGATGCTCTAGAATTTTCCAGGATCTGTTCTATGTTTTGTCTTAGGCTTCTGTGGAATTTATCATCTTCACGTTTTTCATTTAGCATAAGCTGTTTACACCAAGAAATAATGAAAAATTATATTTGAAATAAAAACGATCTAATAATATGTTTCAGGGGGTACAGTTGCTGCGTTGATATGGCTTTGTTAAAAGTTACGGTGTTGGTCATGGTACTACTCGCCATCACAACGGTAATCGTTCTAATTTTTTATTTATTGAATTTGTGCATCACTTTTTAATTTTGTTTCTGGATATCTGCATTGATTATCAACTTCTAGCTATTTGAAATGTCAAAATACAGTTAATATACCGAAAGACATTTCCCTAGCTAGCTCAAATTTAGCGAAGTAGTCATCGATCCTATGCAGTCTTTTTATGTATTTTCTTCCGATGTTTATCCAATACAAAATATTTATTCTAATGCCCTGTTCACACGACGAGTAAATAAATTAATGCGAAGTAAACTAATGCGAATCAAAGTAATGCGAATTAAATTCCGTTCACACGACAGCTAATTCAAAGTAAACTAATGCGAATTAATGCCCTATTCACACGGAGAGTTTAATTTGAATTAAACGTAAAGTTACTGCGAATTAGCTTCGCTTAACGTTCATACGGAGAATTTAATGCGAATTATTTTAATTCGAATTAGTTTACTGCGCATTAAATCACTTCGCATTAGCTCCGTTTGAACGCTAAGCGAAGCTAATTCGAATTAAATTTTGAGGCATGCGTAATGGCAAAAATAGGTCAAATGCAACATGTCCGTGGTCAGCTTGAAGTAATTGTGCTATTTTTGCGTGAAAAACTAAGGTAAATTGTGTTAATCACAAAATATGTGTGTACAGACACTGTAACACTATGTCAAATGCATCTGCTCCTGCATAAGGTGACGTGATTTGCAAATGACGTCATAATAGCCTTACTGACGCCTGGCCGTAGAAGTAGAATTTAATTCGTATTAGTTTACTTTGCATTAGCTGTCGTGTGAACACAATTTAATTCGCATTATTTTGATTCGCATTAATTTACTTCGCATTTTAATTTACTGCGAATTAAACTCGTCGTGTGAACAGGGCATACAATTCTACTTCTACGGCCAGGCGTCAGTAAGGCTATTTTGACGTCATTTACAAATCACGTCACTTTATGCAGGAGCAGATGCATTTGACATAATGTTACAGTGTCTTTACACAACACAATTTTCTTTAGTTTTCACTCAAAAATAGCACAAATACTTCAATTTGATCATGGGAATGAGGCATTTGACCTAATTTTTTTGCCATTACGCATGCCTTAAAATTTAATTCGAATTAGCTTCGCTTAGCGTTCAAACGGAGCTAATGCGAAGTTATTTAATGCGCAGTAAATTAATTCGAATTAAACTAATTCGCATAAAATTCTCCGTGTGAACGCTAAGCGAAGCTAATTCGCAGTAACTTTACGTTTAATTCGAATTAAACTCTCCGTGTGAACAGGGCATAAAGTTTGTTTTTGCTATTTCGGGGCTGTAATTCGAAAGTGAGAGTAGACGTTAATACGAACTCTAACTCTTGATTCCCGCCTACATTTTGCACTCATTAAATTCAATATTAATGGCAATTTGGCCATTAAATCTTTGTTTAATACAAAGAACAGTTCTATGGTAATTGATTAATCATTTTAATTCCAGCGCTAGATAGTAAATAATCATTAATTCCAGTTCTTGAAAAAAGGAGGGTAGACGATATTTTCTAGTGAAATCGAACTTTCAAGGATCACCATATTTTGAAATAGCTTTAAATATGATAAAATGTATCTCATATGTTTTCTTATGTTCTACGCAAATAAATAAAACATATATTAATTAATATAATACAATTATTTAGCTGTAAATAGCTTTAAAATTGGTGAAAAATCAGCATTTTTTTCGTTTTTTGTTTATAAACATATGTTCCCCCCGTGAAACACAAAAAGTTCTGGCATAAATTTGTAAATTGACAGTTCATATTACCTGTAAAAAGGAATTTTTGTTTCACGGGGGGGGGGGGGGGGGGGGGAGATGTTTTAAAAATATTTTTCGTTTTCCGTTGAATTCTATAGTGAAAAAACACAAGTTTTGCCAAAATTATAGAGTTATATCTCTTTGGTTGCCCAAAAAAAAGTAACGTTTTATGAAAATTCATATAATTATCTATAAAAAATTTGAAAATCATTCTTATATGTTAACTTTTGAAAATTGACTTAGAGGTAGGCGGGAGAACAATACTATCGTTCGTGGTTCAGTATGCGAGTGAAATAATGGACATCATGATCATCATATGTCAAGTGTATTCTAAGTCAAGTGTATTCTGGTGGAGATATTATGAAGTCCGCATGGTTTAAGCGCTTAGGTGATTATTTGTAAAATTTATAAAATTTTAGATATGACTACACTGTATGGATGTCAACTTATAAATTCAAAGGATTCACGGCGGGTTTAATTGGTCAGCAAAGTATGCATACTTCCCAAGGGTCCCGATCCCATATCTGGGTCCTTGTTTATTAGTCATCATCTCAATTTTCACTAATTATTTATTAGTTTATATGACAATGTAAAAGGTTCAATGAGACAAATTCATGAAATTGTTTTTCATATGAACAAGCATTATTATCTCAACTTGACTTAAGTTTATAGATAGCTTGTAATAACTCTGTAATATTTCCTTTCGATGTTGTATTCCAAAACATAGTATCGATATAAATTGGAAAAGAATTAGTTTGCAAAAACATTAACCTCAAATCAAGGGTCACATTTGTTCCTTTTTATTTTCATTTTTACATATGTTTACTTAATCTTTATCTTAATTTCTAGACCGTGGACTCGTTAGGATACAATTTTCCTGTACGGTCGACAAAAAGATGTCCAATGAATGCCAAGGAATGGTCTGACGCTTCTGTAAGGATGCACTGCAACAATACAAGCGGGTATCACTGTGTTCCCGATAAGAATTTTTCATCTCTAATCGAGTTTTGTTACCCACGTGGAAGACGTATTCCTTTTCAAAAAGGTATTGTTTTAATTCCAAAGACAACTGTGCCATTTATTTGACAAATTTAAAAAATTTGTACAACATTACGCTGTTTTTTTTTGTACTTTTTAAGGAAATTGTTTGGAACTTGCCTACACCGGAATTCTAAATCACGTCAAGTGCGGTCATTTCAGCTATGGTTGTCCTGAAATGGATTATTTCAGCAATGAAATATATCAGTGTAAGTCAGAATAGTGTAAACCATTAAAAACGAAATTATTAACTCATACCTCTTCAAATAAATTTGACATTTCTTTTCAACTCCTAATTTTACAGATCCAGCATGTCTAAGACTTGCGGAAAATTGTTTTACAGCGGATCTGAGTTGTTTGAAAAAGCAATATTTCATTCAAATACAGTGAGTACTATATATGTAATATGGGGTAAACAATGTTTTAAAGGTCAATGTCTTTTCAAACAATAAGAATTAGGAGCTAATAAAAGACACAGATTACATCAAAGATGGGACCAGGTGCCACAAAGGAATACACTGTACTAGTAAGCTTAACAAATCATTTGACTTGATAAACTCCTAACTTCATCCCAATTCTCAAAAATCTAAAGGAAACTAATTTCATATTGTTGAAGATTTTTTTGTTTATAAATAGACGATTTTATGATTTTAAAGGGCAGTGTTAAATACCATATAACATTCCCCATTTGTAAATTAAAATTGTTGATATTTATTACTTAATTTGTTTGACCGTTTGATAATTACTTTGCAGTTTGTGAAGATCATGTCTTCCAACAACCTGTTGGAATTCTAAAGGGTTCAATTCCACCCGTTAATGGACTCTTGTGAGAAGTACTGAATTTTACAGTTGGCGGTTTACTTTGACATTTAAACTTGTATCAATTGTAACTTTCATTCATACGTCGTTTAGAAATATTCAAGTGAACATGAAATGAACAAAATACCTCATATTTGACACACCTGTTTATTATTCGGATATACTAGTATTACTAGAATATATATATATATATATATATATATATATATATATATATATATATATATATATATATATATATATATATATATATATATATATATAAAACATAAAAAAAGTGCGGTAAATGCGATTTCATCTTCAATGCACTTATGTAGCAATACACCTTTACACCAGAATATGGGCTCCGTATTCCCCAGTTGATTCAATGCGAAAGATTATGCTCAACATATGAGCAGTTTCTGAATCGAAGCAAACTTTTGATACGCAAACTTGATGAAAGATTTAATATAGCAACAGTCTTAAGCTTGTGTGATCGATCGACACGTATAGGTTACTATGGCACCAATTCCCATATCTGATGCTTTTGAATGTCCGTGTTTGTTTGCTCTATGTATTTTTTTTCTATTTTTTAATGTCTAATGTTTATTTCTTTATGAAAAGCATTTTTACCATCTAGATCATATAAGTTATGGCATGTTGTACTTCTAGAATGGAAAAGAAAGAACCAAATTGTACACATAAAACAGAGCAGTTAACCAGAGAGGAAAATACCTATGAACCTCTTGTAGGGACAGTTATCGTCCTTTCGGTGTTGCTATTTGCATCTATTTTAGCTCTCATCATACAGGGTCTACGGTATCGACAGAAAGGTACTTGAAGTCATCTGCCTTAATGCAAATTGTTACTTAGAATGGTATATGATTTTGAGCATACTTTGGTGTTAACTTTAGGTTTTCAAGCATTGAAAAGCCAATTGCAAATGTAATATAAACTCAAAAGTCTTTAAATGAGGCTGTTGATATCCTTTTAACATCATATTATCTGTATCCTGTCAGTATCCTTCGTCGGTTCAAACTTGATCTCAAATATGTTTTAAAATATCAAAAACATTGATTGTGTTAATACCACATTCATATGTTGCCGGGTAATTCCACCATTATTTAAACTTTTAAATATCCATTCCTTTTCTTTATCTAATAAGACATAAATATAGTATATAATTAAAACATAATACATGTACACATTAAAAAGACATTTATATATAATTTGCAATGCTACAGTTAATAAAATTGATAAACCTTACACCTGAATTACTGATTTTATTTTTAGAATTAATATTTGTATCTGGTAAGAATTGTTGATTTAAGGAGAAAAAAATATTCAGAATTTTCTACTTCTAATTCATTCACATTGCTAAGGCACTTTAAATAACTTGTATGCTAAAAATAACAGGTGGTAAATTTAGTTTTTCTTGAAAATATTTTGAAATATTTGCTCATTAGTTTTATAAACTAAAAAAAATGTTTTTTGCAGAGCAAACTTACAAGGAAAATGATCAAACTAAGGTCCCCTTAATAGGTATGTGTCTAACGATTGGTATTTCTATTTAATGAAAACGAAGCATCACAAACAAGACAAAACAAACAGGATAATCAAAGACACAGAAATCAATTCCTCAAAATTTTATTATTTACGTGAACAGTATACATAATTTTTTAATTAGGAAGTATAATTATGGCAACAAATATGGAATTGTAGTGTTTAGACATGTTCATTAAATGTTCAGATTGTAACCTTGCTTTTTTGTGCAGGAGTTTCGATGCATTTCTGTGTACATCCGTTATAGGACTTATCACGAATTTTGGTCGCAAAAATTTAAAAAATAATATCCCAAATTACAAACAAAAATTAAAACAAGTGTGATGTTTTTGCAGTTGCAGAAAATAATCTAGGAACTGAAGGGTCCAAGGGTGATGTTGTATCTGAAAGATCTCCAAGTTGGTGGAACAACCCAATTATTTCATATTTGGGAAACCATTTCTCGTTGTGATTAAATTGAGGCTAATTTATCTAGTCATACTAATCTGCTCTATTCACAGCTAAGTTTACAATACGATAAAACTATCGTATGCAATAATATTGTAACAGGATAAAAGAAATGTTTAAAAATTCTCAGAAAAAGGGAGTTTGGATAAGTTGAATGGTGATAAGATGCTATGCAGAAACATCAACATGTCTATTTCAACATGTTTGCAAAGCAAATTATGTTTTGGTGGTTTCAATCACTAATATTCAAACGCATCATCAATTGAAATAAAATTGTTGATTTGAACATATTCTATTGTAATATAATTACAATGGAATTGAGCACAAGTTCTGAAAACTTATAAACGCCCTCTCCCTATACATATAAATTACACATTGATATTGTCACAGTTGAACATGCTATATAAAGTATTCAGTATTTGCAAAAGTAAACAATTTGATGCATTTTGCATATATGTATAAATATATAAAAGTTGAAAAAATTCACATATTATTATTGGTACAGTAATTAACAAGGAAATCTACCAGAATGCTTAATAAATGTTTGAACAAAAGAAAAGAGACGTTCATTCTCAGCAGCATTCAGTGAATCAGCCCCCCATAATAAGACATGTGTATCTAGTATGTGGATTTTGTCAAATTGTAAAAATTTATGTAAAAATTCATTTCTGGCGTTCGCATACTTTGGACAAACGAAAAAATAATGATATGTGTCCTCAACTTTACCGCACGTGCATAAGGGACTTGATATTAAATTGCATCTATAAAGGTCGTTATTTAATACACAATTATGTCGTAGTCTGGTTTGAAGAACATTTAGTCTTCTGTTGCCGTAATCAAAGTAAGAAGGTGGGGCAGATCTAGATTTTTTATTACTAATTTTGGATTTGAATTTCGACATTGACTGTAAATTTCGAGTTTCAAGTGGAATGGAGTTCCATTCGTTAACTACAGTAGGAATAAACGTAGACTTATAAGTTTGTAATCGACACTTTGGAATATCATAATTTTGAGAATTTCTTGTCGAGTAGATAGATGTGTTACGGCGCATATTTGGGAGTATGTCCATTAAGTATTCTGGCACTAAATTATTATGAAGTTTGAACATTGTTTTTAATCTAGCTTCTTGTCTTCTACAACTAAGCGGTTCCCATCCCGTTTCAAAATAAAGTGAATCTTTAGAAGCTACAATAAAATTGTTAGAGACTTAATTCTGCTATCGCTTCTATCTTTATCACAGAACGCCCTGCTCCATTTGTGACAAAAGAATGTGGAAGTCAAACCGATGATGAAATGAAAACATTTGGTGAGAATTCCTAGTAAAAAGACACAAGAGATATTATTAATTTCGTTTTTTTTTTGTTAACTAATATACATGCAGAAGTCACAGAGAATCCAGATGGTCATTGAAATGCAATTTTCTTGATTCATTTGCAGAATTCCATGTTTATATACCAAGAAATAATGAAAAATTACTTTTGAAATAAAAATGATATATTAATATGTTTCAGAGGTACAGTTGTTGCGTTGATTTAAGTAGAGAAAAAAAATTCAGAATTTTCTACTGCTAATTCATTCTCATTGCTAGGGCGCGTTCAATAACCTGTATGCTAAAAATAATAGGTAAATTTAGTTTTCATTGAAAATATAATGAATATTTGCTCATAAGATTTATAAAGTGAAAAAAAAACTGTTTTTCTTGCAGAACAAACTTACAAGGAAAACGATCAAACAAACTTTTCCCTAATACTGTAAACCAAGTATTATACGCGTGCGATAAATATCCGCGAGTTCCGCGAGTAACCTCTGCTCGCGGATATTTATCGTCGCGAACCAGTTGTTCATTATATTCCCATATCATGATTTATTTACAGTTATTTGCCCTTTTTTCAATACCGATCCCGACGGTTCAACAAGTAATCACGGAAGAAATTAACTCTTAGTGTACAAGAAGCAGTTGAAATTTAATCAGAAACATTCAGAAAAAATAAAAGCAAATGGCAAATCTAAAATTATTTGTCTAAAAATGATTAAAATGTCAATAATCATTTCAGCTTGTGTTATTATTGTTCATTTATTGTTACAGACGAGTCAGATATAGCCTGGTTAATTAAGACTAATTATGGCCCAGTTCTGCTCTGTCCCAACCATTTATAATAATTGCCCCCCTTGGCTATGTAGATCTTAAAAAGCGTCGATTACCCAATTAGTTTGAGGCACTTTTACAATTCGAGAGTTTTAAATGAATTTTAATCTAGATTTTTTCCCGAAGCGTTTTGAAAAAAAAACTCATGGTAAACATTTTACCCACTTTAGGGGCGGATATAAGATTTTTAATGGACCCAATGCACAGAATGTATTGAATAATGCGTAAGCAGACCTCACGCTTCCATTTTACCTAGTTTATGGACGGATATGATATTTTAATTTGATTCAAAAATACTCGTGGAAATAAAAAAAAATGTGACCACTCGTTCGCGGAAATAAATCGTCGCGGATTAATTCTCTATCGGTCAGTCGCGAATAAAAAATGACGCGTATAATAATTGGTTTACAGTAGGTATGTGTCTGACGTTTGGGTTTTTTTCGATGAAAACAAAATATCACAAAAAAGACATAACAAACAGAAGAATCACAGATACAAAAGCCAATTCCTTCATATTGTATTATTTACATGAACGATATTAAATAAACATCATATTTAATTAGGAAGTATTGCAACGAATATAGAATTTCAGTGTTTAGACATAACGTTAAATGAACAATTTGTAACCTTGTTATTTGTGCAGGAGTTTATTTCTATGCATTTTGTGTACATCTGTTAGGACCTATATCGAATTTTAGTCGCACAAAGGTAAAAAAATGCCCACATTACAAGACTTTATTCAAACAAAAGATAATCCCGTGTTCATGTTTTGTTGTTGCAGACAATAATCCAGAAACTGAAGGGTCTAACGGCGAAGTTATATCTGAAAGACCTGCAGGTTAGTAGAATAACCCAATTCTATCATAATTTTAAAAAATCATATTTCTTGTGACTAAAATTGAGGCTAATTTATCTTGTCATAGTAATCCGCTAGATGCTCTGTTCACAACTATGCTTAGAATTAGATTAAACTACCGTATGCAATAAAACAATTAAAATAAAATAAAATTAAGAATTTTTTTCTGGTCATTTTTAAAAATGTTTTTTGGGTTTTTAATGGGTTTTGAATAAGTTGAATGGTGATAAGATGCTATGTAGAAACATTAAAATGTCTATTTGAAACTGTTTGCAAAGCAAATTATGTACTAGTGGTTTCAGTCAAAAGTTTTTAAACCTATAATCAATCAAAATAATTTTTTTTAGGGACGTAGTTTTACAATTGCTTCTGTCTTTATCACAGAAAGCCCTGTTCCATCAATGACAACAGAATGTTGGTTAGAATTACTTGTAAAAAGACAAAAAATTGATGATATTTATGATTAATTACAGTTTTTTGTTAACTTATATGCATGTAGACGTCTCAGAATATAAAAAAGGTAATAGAAATGCCATTTTCTTAATTTATATACAGAATTACATGCAATTGTAACCAAAGAAAGTGAAAACCAGGAAGCAAAAAATTCTGGTAAGACTGAACTTACGTGTTTGTTTGTTTGTTAATGAAGCACATTTTACAACAACTCCTCTAAAAAAATATAACATAAGTACCCTAAGTAAAGATAATTTGTAAAGGAAGCAATTCACTTCATAAGGATACACACTCCCGTCCCAACTCGTTCAACTCTTGTTTTGTAAATTGCGATTTATAAAGAAAGTAAGTAACAATATTTATGTCCATCGTATGGAATGCAATTCTCTCAAAAAACTAATGTCCAAATAGCTATATCTCATTTCCATTCTTATCAATGACCTTGCAGTGTAAGACAGCGCTCCGAGAATTCCATCGGCATCAAAAGCAAAATTTTAACTCACCAGTTTCTGAGACTGTTCCTGTACTACAAGAATGAAAGAATGAAATATTTGGAAATAACGAACAGTATTCAATCTCAAAAGTCCATTAAACAGCCAATAAAGTTTTCAACCCCCTGTCGGGGTGGATGCACCTTACTTTCGCATAAGCTGTTTTGGTCCCTAATGATCAACGACACAAACTACAGACAGACAAAAACACAGAATAGACTAATTTTACGGAACGCCTGGTACCTTATCAATGCAAAGAATAGATTAGAGATTATAAAAAGAAAGGAAATAAATAATAATTAACACTACAACTTTACTTCTAATTCCAATCTCATCAATTAAAATTAATTTATAATTTTTGCGGAATAATTCCACTCCTCTTTGTACTTGTTAAACTCTCATTCTGTCTGGTGTAATTTGATAAAGTAAAATCATGTATAAAATTGAAAAAAATTTGCTTGTGATATCTTAAATTAAATCATACAATCTTGAGTGACCAATTCTTTAAAAACCATTTACATTTCTTTGAAGAATGTCTTTTTCATTTCAAGTTGTTTATTTTAACAAACCTTATTTTCAAACAATAATTTTTTTATAAACATATTTTTGCCAGATAACATTTTGAACATGATTTTAACGGAAATCTCCATAGAAGATGAAGACTTGTTTCAACTTCTGAAAAGGCAGTGCTTAAATGGTGAACAACTGGGATTCAGTTATCTTATTGACGGAAGAGTTAAGACACTGGGCAAAAGAGACCTTTTATTTCAGAGAGACGAAAGTGGATGTACATTATTGCATTACGCAGCCAGAGGGGGATCTATTCCTATACTGGATGAAATATTAAAACTTTATCAAGAAAAAAATGTTGATTTCATGGTTAAATGTTATCAAAGTAAAACAATCTTGGACTACGCTTTGCAATATAACTGTGATGATGAGACTGCTAAATTTATTATTGGAAAACTTGCAAAACCGATGAAAGAAGCAATGAAATTAAAAAGAAATCAAAATACAGAATATCATGATCCAATAGTGGCGAACGTTGCACTATTTGCGCCATTCCATTTGATTGCTTGGAAAGGAAATTTAGAACTTTTAGATACAATAAAAACAGTGTATGACAATGTTACAGCTAAAACTAAAAGTGGGCTTGATATCCTTTCCATTGGTTGCCTTGCACATAAAAATAAATTTTGCAAGCATGTTATAAAAAATGAAAAGGTACTATCAAAATCTGACAAAAGTGGTCAATGGAATGTTTGCCATTATGCGGCGATGTCCGGAAATTTGACAGTTTTAAAACAAATAGAATTAGAGGACCCAGACCAGCTGTCAATATCTTCAAATTCAAAGAAAAAACCATTGCATATTGCTTGTGAATTTGCAAAAATTAATGTTGTCGAATATTTAGTTCATAGATGCCCTAAAGATATGTTCCGGGAAGATAGCTTTGGTTGGAATGCATTACAATTTGCTGTCAAAGGTGGAGATTTTGATCTTTTTATGTTTTTGATAGACCAAAAAATGGATATTAGGACCAGAGCAAAGGATGGGAAAACATTGCTCCATATTGCATGCATTCATAAACAGGATAGAATATGTGAATTCTTGGCTAAAACATATTTTGAAAAGCACAAAGATCTCTTAAATGCAACGACAAACATTAAAAATTGGACTGCAGCGCATTACATCGGAGTGGAGAATAAATTGGATGGCAGGGAAGCAAAAATACTTGATATACTAAAAAAATATATCGTGGATCTCTCTGAGAAAAAAAAAGATGGAGACACAATACTCTCTGCGGTAACAGCAGATGGATACACAATATTTGACATAGCTATTCAACATTTGAATATTAAGTTAATTATCTATATTCTTGAAAGTGAGGAATACATAAGATTAATAGGTATATGTCAGGATACTTTAGAAGGACATCTTCAAAAAGTAAAAAATCCAACTATCAAGGCAGCTCTACAAAAAGCTATTAAAAAACTAAGGTTTGACTAAGTTAATTGTTAAATATCAAGTTTTTATAAAAGGGAATAAAACAATTAAGTAGTTATACCCCTTGCTTGAAAAGTGGAAGGGTGTATAGTAATTGGGATGTCCGTCCGTATATCTGTACGTCTGTCTGTTACGCTTTGGTGTACCTATCTCATCCCCCACTGAATGAAATTGGATGAGATTTAAAGAGAATCTTGAATACATAACGACATTTTGCATCTCCTATTTTACGTACCTCTAGTTTTAATCTATCCTGATCATTCCGCTTTTATTTTCTACAAGTAACCTATGCGTTTGGATAGGTCTCATATTCCTAAAAACTGAAAGAAAGAAGCTTTTGTGAATATTTCGACTTGGTTAGTGTATTGTCGTAATAGCGACATTCTGGCACAAGGGAGATCTGCATGCCTAATGCCCAATTACATAAGCCTGACACATTGTAGCCTCACTGTCTTAGATATAAATAGTTACAATGTATATATCACGGATTATGCAATAAAATTAAATTGCAAACTACTTGTAAAGAGACGATTAAGAAGTTGTTTCGTCTTCCTTAATGTTTGATAATAAAAAGCATAGTGCAAAAATTGCACTTTAAGTAAAGGCGATAAAAGGCCCCAATTTAACATGTAATAAGCTTCGATGTCGATTATTTTCTTTGTTTTATTCAATGTATTTGGTATGAAAAAAAATGAAAAACATGATAAATGCAAATCAACGATGCAGTATGTTACGGTTTGGTGTATTCTTCTTCTTCCAGTTGCCTCCCTCTCTCTATTTACTAGTATATTGTCAGTCTAATTTTCTCTGTAGTCTTGTTAAATAAAGTAAACGCATGATACATAGAAATATTAAAGTTTATTTAAATTAACAAAAAACAAGAAAATGTTTTACTTTAGAAAATAATTATATCTTATTTTTAAAAAGAAAAACAATATATATACATGTATATTCTTGGTTTTTTTTTTCACTTTGAATTGGATTAAGCAGAATTGTTTAATTATGCAAAAAATGATTGAAAATGAAGAGGAACTTGTACTTGCGTACTGTTAGTAAACCTACATTTAACCTTTACTTGTTGCATTGTTCTACTTTAATAACCGTAGATTTGCACCTACCGTTTATCAATGGATAGTGTAAAATTATTAACGGTTATAGGCTGAGTATATGTTTTATGTATATGTCTTATTATAGACCTTATTCATTCTTCTGGAAACATTATTATATACAAATCATTTAATTGAGAAAGACAGCAATTCAAGCTTTAAAAAAGATTTTTTTTAAAGATTTAGTTTGTAAAATCGTAAAACACTTACAGCAATTATTCAATTCTAAGTCTGAAGGATGAATTTAAGATGTGAAAAGGACCGGGAGAGGGGGAAGAGAAATTTGTCAGAAATTCTTGGGATGCAAGTAGAAAAAATATTAATACATTGCATAAATTATAATATAACAGCTGTTATGATGCTACATAGTGAATACAAAATATAAAGGTCAGCCTATTGGCTTTTACAATCGCCACTTGGCTATTTACGTCAACTGGTTACCCAAGTTTAATTTATCAATTGATAAATACAATCATGTATCTCCTCATATATGTAGACTATCTTATAAACATCATTAACGTACAGTTCCCATTTGTCTCCGTCAGTCTTCTACAAAGATTCAAGAACGGTTTCAATACAATTCTTGCCCTGTGATTTTCTAGATTAAAAATTAACCTGTTGTAAAAAAAATTGTGCTTTCTGAATCAAGGAATTCCATGCGGAAAAATCATATGAACCATTTTTCTCACATGCATTTCTTAATGCTATTTGTGACGTCATTAACATATGCATTTTCCCGTATTTTCTTAAAAAGTTGCAGAAGAAACCAGTTTTCAAAAAATATGGTACACAGACCTAACCTTCAAAGATTTTAGGTTTAAATGTACATGTATGTGAATTTGCAATAAATTTTGCACATAATATCCAACAAGAGGCCCATGGGCCACATCGCTCACCTGAAAAGCTTTGACCATTCTGTTCTTTACCAGATTTCCTCCTTGTAATACATAATGCATCCCCACCCTACCCCACTGATCATAATTTAGACATTTTCGAATCTACACAACCCCAGGATCCTTCCATGTGCACAAATTTCAGCTTTTCTGGCCCAGTGGTTCTTGAGCAAAACATTTTCAAAGATTGTTCCTATATATTTCTATGTAAAACTTTGATTCCCCATTGTGGTCCCGCCCTTCCCCCGGGTGTCATGGTTTGAACAATTTAGAATCTACACTATACCAGGATGCTTCCACATATGATTCAGTTTTTTGGGCTCAGTGGTTCTTGAGAAGAAGATTTTCAAAGATTATTCCTATATATTCCCATGTAAAACTTTGATTCCCCATTGTGGCCCCGCCCTTCCCCCGGGTGTCATGATTTGAACAATTTAGAATCTACACTATACCAGGATGCTTCCACATATGATTCAGTTTTTTGGGCTCAGTGGTTCTTGAGAAGAAGATTTTCAAAGATTGTTCCTATATATTTCTATGTAAAACTTTGATTCCCCATAGTGGCCCTGCCCTTTTTTCGGGGGTCATGATTTGAACAATTTAGAATCTACACTATAATAGGATGCTTCCATATAAGTTTCAGCTTTTCTGTCCCAGTGGTTCTTGAGAAGATTTTCAAAGATTGTTCCTATATATTTCTATGTAAAACTTCGATTCCCCATTGTGGCCCCGCCCTTCCCCCGGGTGTCATGATTTGAGGTGTCATGATTTGAACAATTTAGTTTAACACTATACCAGGATGCTTCCACATAAGTTTTAGTTTTTTGGGCTCAGTGGTTCTTGAGAAGAAGATTTTCAAAGATTGTTCCTATATATTTCTATGTAAAACTTCGATTCCCCATTGTGGCCCCGCCCTTACCCCGGGTGTCATGATTTGAACAATTTAGAATCTACACTATACCAGGATGTTTCCATACAAGTTTCAGCTTTTCTGGCCCAGTGGTTCTTAAGAAGAAGATTTTTTAATGACCCCACCCTATTTTTGTCTTTTCTTGATTATCTCCCCTTGTGATGGAACTTGGCCCTTCATTTTAACAATTTTAATTTCCCTTCACCCAAGGATGCTTTGTATTAAGTTTGGTCAAAATTGGCCCAGTGGTTCTTGAGAAGAAGTCGAAAATATGAAAAGTTTACAGACGGATGGACGGACGACGGACAAAATGTGATCATAAAAGCTCATTTGAACCTTCGGCTCAGGTGAGCTAAAACTAAAGCGGGCGACGGCTGTGGCCACTGTTTTATAAACTTAAGGTAAAATACCCTTAAAAATGTCATTTTGAGGCTTTTTGTTTAAAATAGAGAAATGCATCAAATTAATGACATTGCATTTCCGGAACTGTACTACTTTATGCTATTATGTATTTTTCCCTGATCTTTCACTGTCATATAAACTCAACTAATATTGAAGCAAGTTTCAAACCTTTTATATACCTTCTTCTTTGACACCAAAGGTACAGAAACCAACTCATTGGGTCATTTGGCTTCTTACAGTAGTTGGCCATGAATGAGTTCTCAAAATGGCGGCGTCGTCGATGTAAACAAACTTCGTCAGCTAAAATACATGTTAATTTTTTGTTAAATTTATGAACAGACTTACCTTCTTTGCTAAGTATTTCGTATTTTGTCCCCTTGCATGTATTACACAATGGATTCGGGCATTCAGGCTCTGAGTGTAGTGAAGAGGTAGAGCTGTCCATATTTCTTGTACTACACGTTTTAAATCATCAGCGTTTTTAATTTCCCCCTAAAACGTTTGCACTCGGATTTTTGAATGTTTTTCCAGACTGAAATCTGGGGAGGCCATGGCAGAGTATTTGCATTACTGTTGTCAACATTTCATACATTGGCCCTAGCAGATACAGACCTGGGGGCCATAAAACTGGTTTATGCAAGCTATTCCCACTTTTTGAAAATCAGGCAGAAAAAGGTGAAATTTCACGAGGGAGTAGGTGGAATTTTTGTGTAAACAAATAATTAGCTGAATAAACATGTCATTACTGTGAAAACAGTCATTATTGAACCACTGGGAGTAGAGGACAGATAAATTTGCTATCTTGAAATATAAAATCTGGCTTTTTACTGCTATTTCAATAAGAAATTAGACTTTTTCTTATAAAAATATTTTTTTTTTTTAAATTGACTTTTTACTTCTATTTCAATGAGAAATAAGACTTTTTCAAATAAAAATATTTTTCATAATAATTTTACATATTCAAAAATTACAGAATATATTTCAGTGAAGGATGTATTCGCTTTGACAAAAGAATTGACCTATAGGAGAGAAGAATTTCCCGGAAAAAGTGACATTCAAAAATTAATCTTTATTTGTTATTTTCTATCGTATATATGTCTAAATTGTTCAAATTTGTATTTTATACCTAATATTTATTATTTAAAACTGTACAATAAACCTCCAAAGTTGGCCAAAACACCATTTTTTCCGTTAAAGCGTTGATTTTTGCATGTATTTTGGCCTAGAAGTCCTTCAGGGCAGGCCTGCCCCTAAATAAAACTGTGATATTGTGATATGTTGGGATGTAAAGAATGATTAAAGATAGAAGTTTTTTAGGGGCACCCCTGCCCTAGGGTCGAAATTCGCAAAAAACATACAAAAAATAAGGAAACCTGATTTTAATAATCCGTTTAAAATTCATGCCAACAAATTCATAGTCAGACTAGCTCAGTTGATATATGTGCAGACTATTTCACTGACAATACTTCCTTTTTAAAGTCGAGGGTTCGAATCCACCTTGTACCACATTTTTATAGTTTTAATTTTTCGCCTTTTCAAAGACTATTTTATTTTTTTATAGACCTGTGCATTTATTTCAATTATCTATCCTTTATGCATGCCCATTCTTGATATAAGGAATACTAAAGAGAGATCAGATCGTAACAATCCAATGTACAGTTGTCAGTCAGGCGGAACAATATAAGCACACTTTCTCCGAGGACAAGAAAAGCTCACTTTGTGTTACTCGATACAGGTATTCTTGGCAGCATTGAGCTGAATTTCATTTGTATAATTATATTCCTTAGAATTTAATCACATTGACTTTGTCTACATATATCAGAAACTGTTTTCCTTGGATTTCATTTAGGCCTATATATTCTGCACACATTAATGGCATGTTTTAATATATCCACGGATAAATAGCCTGAACGTAAAGAATAGAATTTCAGAGACAGTAGACATTACCATTAAGCACAATGAGAAGTAAAGAAAAATATCAATTATTATGTTTGGAGATAACAAACTCAGAAATCTATGAAAGGGTTCAGCTCCTATCTCTACTCACTGAAATAAAGATTTAGGAAAAACAAATTGTTATATATGTATTCAGCCTAATGTTATTAATGAGAACGGAAATCTGCAAGCTTTTTGTAGAGAATAAAACCAAGCCCTATAGGTCAAATTATACATTTGATAAATATATTTATTTTCTGTCTTAAAATGTACAAAATACTGGTAAAATACAGGTAAATCTAAGATGGGATGCAATTAGTCTAATTACTGTAAAAACCAATTAACTAATCAAAACATCTATTGTTATTTGCAAGTGGGAATAGGTGGAATCGGGATTTTTAAAAAGTGGGAATACCTAGAAGACACCATAAGACGAGCTTACTTTTGATTTCAGTCTCACTATTCCACTATTAATTCCTATGGAAAAAGTAAGACTGAGATCAAAAGTGAGCTGGTCTAAGTTTTATGTAAAGTGATGTGCTACTACCGGCCATAAATTGTTCAAGAATGGTAATATATTTATTTGTGGAAATGCACCCCAAAAACATAATATATATGAGGGATACTCGACAGGTGCACTCCCGGTCTCCAAACGCACCCGAGCATTCGGGCCTTAAACGCTCGCCAGACTTACTCCAAAAGTACAATTGCTGTATTATTGTTCCCAAGCATGAATTTAGTTTCATCAATGAAGATGAACCTGGACCAGTTATTATGGACAGTACATGCCAACCTTTGCCGACAAAACCTTGTCCGCCACTCTCTGTTCACACGAGAATTAAAATAATGGTAATCCGTTTGGAAACCAAACATCGTTAGAGCCAATCAGCACAAAGACGTCTCCTTCACAAGACCGAGTCTAATTATTTCTATCCTAGGGATTTCGCTAATTTTTCGTCAAATAATTTTTACTGTTATATTTATCGCTTTAAAGCAATATATGGCGTATGTACAATAAAAATTATTAGACTAAAACTATAAGAACTTATTATTTGTATCATTACTTTATATAAAGATAGAACTCTAAGTTAGTTGCGTTAATAAGATATCACAATTTAATTTGGATTCCCGGAATTTTCTCCGACTCGGAAGAAAATACGAAAGATTTAAAAACACATTACAGAGAAGATAAAATCGTATAATTAGTTGAGACGGGGTGTTATCCGCATTAAGAATTGTATGAAAAGTTTTAATTAAAATGTATTACCTATATTTCTTTACCTATTAATTTTGTATTTTTCAAAAATATATTTTTTGATCAGTTACGCCATATATATGGCTTAAAGATTTAAAAAAAATCGAATGCTCACAACCCCAATTTCTGTAGGGGTCATCTCAAAAGTTGTCGATTTTTACTATAATTGGACCCCATGGGAATTTGTTGCCCCCCCCTTTTGTTATAATTGCTCATCGAAAGGCTGGTTGCCCCCCCCCAGACGATTTGATACTACAGGATTGAACTGATATCAAGGAACTGTAGTATTGAAAGCATAGAAAACTGGCACTGAAAGAATGGCTTCAACCTCCACTCCCCCCCCCTCCCCCCTCCACCACCCCCAGCCCCCTGCGCGCGCCACAACCACGAAAGCAGGGATCTACATACTAACATTATTATATAAGTCCCTGTCAAAAGTAGATTTTCGAGTTTGGACAATTTTCGGTTTTTTGTACTTTCGCTGGTCAACTTTTTCAGGTAAGTCAAAAACATTCACAGATTTCTCTCTGGCTGCCCCCCCTTTCAAAAACGATGCTACGTAGTACATACGAACGACGCCGTCATTTTGTGAACTCATTCATAGCCAGTTAGCTACTGTATAAATTGCACGCCAACATACAATATTATGTAAGAATCGCCGTGCTTGTTGACATAAATAATTATGTCGCATGTCTACATAAAGAATTAATTAAACATGCAACTATGCATAGTTAACATTGGGGCAGAAAATATGCTATCACAGATACTTTATTTTTTGGTGTTTATAAATTTTGCAATGAATGGTAGAATTGCAATGTAAAAATATAGTCAAAATTTTATGTTTTACTGAATTATACTAACTACATACTAGTTGGACAAATTATCGAACTTTCAATATCGATCGGGCGTGGAATACGATACATGTACAATATTGTGCATGGTGTAATATTAGTAATGTGGTCGATTTTGTCTGAATTTTACGATAATTGGGTAAGATTTAACTTTAAATATTATTGTTTTAAGCTGATGGTAACTTTATTATGATAAGCCTTGAATGTATTCTTTTTTTCTTCATTCAATATTTCTAAATAAGATTATTTCACCATGTTACAGTTCTTTCGGTAATTCTATGCACCTGTGCACTAGAATCCTTTGCTTGTGGCAAGAAATTGTGGACAGCGGAGCTAAGCCTAGCATTGTGTCGGCATAAGCCGATTTTACTCGTGTATTTTCCAAGGTTAGTTGTTACTAATTTAACTCTTTGCTTTAATGATCTTTAAAGGGAGTGTCACAGTTTTCTCCCACTTTTTTGACGTGCCAAACGGGGTCACTGTCGTTTCGCATGATTGATCAATGCTTAGAGTAAGCCTAGTTCTACTAAATGCATATTTAGTTTGTGCAATTATTTCAAACTTGAATTTCTTCAGATTAACACTACTTAGATAACATCATATAAATAAAAAAAGAGAGAGAATGCCTCGAGTATTTATGGAATTTGCTTGGTGACCTTGTTTACGAGAAAATGGTATCTTGATCCCGAGCATATAGCCGACTACATTCTCTCTATAGAAGTGGACAGGCTTTTGCCTACATACAGGACATAAGGCCTGCGTGTTTTGATTTTGTAAAACGTGTAAAATGTATAACCAGTATTGACCTACACTTTAGCTAATATTTTGTCTGAAATATATGCAAAACAGATGTGTTTTACATGTATTAACTATTTTAACAATTATAAACAAACTCAACTGTCACATTTAACATGTTTAAGTTTAACTTTAAGAAAACCAGCCTTTACATTTCTTTTCTCCATTACAAGTTCTTATACCCAGATTCAAGCTTATGCTTTTCTACCACAATCGGCAATCCTTTACACTTCATTCAGTGTGCGAAGCAGGAGTCTGCCACCCTACAGGAACTCTGAATGCCCTTTTAGAGTTATTTGCTTAAAATTTTAATCTGTGATGGAGAACTTGTAAAAGTGGATCAACAATAGGTAAAAGTTGGTTTTATTGTAAAAGATGGACAGGTAAAAAAAAAAAAAAAACTAAAACCCGAGAATCTTTGGTTACCAGGTACATAAAAAACAAAACCTTTGGTTTGAACATATTTTATTGTATAAATATTATACAAATGGTTTGAACACAAGTTCTAACAATTTACTAGGTTCTCACCATTCCTTTTTAACGAGTGGCACTCTAATAATTACTCTCTGATCCATTTAAATTTTTAAAGACCATGTACATGTATATAATATGTATTACATGTATGTGATTATTGTATTAATAGAAAAAATAAACTAACAAAGTGACCAATATTTCAAGCTTTTTTTTTCATTTAAACAGCTTGAGAAGAAGCGATGATCCAGATAGTACATGAATATGTAAGTATTTAAGTTTTTATCTCTGATCATGTTGATCAGTCTGTTTTAAAAAAGATCAACTTCAAATGTTGTAATTTTCTGTTTAAAATAGTGCATCAATATAGTGTTTATGTAGCTATTAAAATTCAAAATAAAGCATACTGAGGATATGACTTATAATCATCCGTTTAGCTTTAATTGTTAATCAGCTATAGATTTGAAGCAACCTCAGCTACCCATTTTTATTTGAGGCCATCTGTTTGTACAATTTCCTTTCAAGAATTATTCTCTGGTATTAAGACTACAAATTTAGACCTGCATGTACTCAGCACTTTGAGCAGTGAGTGATCTTTTGGTTTTCTTGCCAGCATGTCATGTGACAAGGGGCCTTGGTACTTGGCCATTGGAAGGTTTGGTATCCATGTCTGGCAGTGGGATACGAACCCATAATTGTAAGTTCCATCATATAAAATTCCATGATTTTTCGATTTTTTGTAAAGGGGCTCCAGATGATTCATTGTGACTCTTTTTTCAAGACAGAACATCACGACTGTAACTAAAAGTGGAGGTACTGTGAGCAACAAGCTCACTAAATAATACCCCTGCCTCCCACATGAATATAACGTCAGTGTCCATGTTTTGCTTTGGGAAACCCAAGATATGTGTCGGATCAAAAGGTATAATAGAAAGTCACAATGGCATTATTTAAGAAAGAATCTGTGAAAGTATAATTAAATTTTAATTAGTGGTATAGGAGGAGTTAAATGTGGATAAGAGAAGGATACCCTTTAATATTATAGAAAAAATGGCAGTGTCATTGTTTTGCTCTGGAAAACCCAAAATATGTGTCAGATTAAAAAGTAATTAAAACTAGAGGTACTGTGAGCAATGGGCTCACTAAATGATACCCCCGCCTCCCACATGTGTATAAATGGCAGTGTACATGTTTTGCTATGGGAGACCCAAAACGTGTCGGATCAAAAAGTAAAATAGGAGGTGCACAATGGCAATATGTAATAAAGATTCTGTGAAAGTTTCATCAAATTTCATTCAGTGGTGTAAGAAGAGTTGCGGATAAGAGATGGGTACCCGAAAGTGTAACAGACGGACGGACGTACAGATGAATGGACGGACGGAATTAACTAGAGTTGGGTATTGCGAGTGAAAACCATATTGCGATATATTGCAATATTTTACTTTGAATATTGCAATATATTGCAATATATTGTAGATTTTAATTATCATTAATAAATTTTAGCAGAATGTTTGAAATGCTGTCAAATTCAAAGACTATATATTTGAATTTATCTTTAAATTTTAAAGGGGGAGGAGGGATAATACATTAATCATGTTAATTGCACACATAATTATAACATTTTACTTTTAATCAAAAACCAGGTAAATTAATAAAAACAAAATGAACCTCCATGGAGAATTTTCAAATAAAAAAAAATACAGAATATATATGAAGCAGCATGAAATGCTATGGGAAAAAAATTATTGTAGTTACAGAATAAAATTAAAGCCGGAAAGAAATTTTGACCTATTTTCGAGCGTTTTGGTGTTTTAGTCTAACCCGAGCTAATTATAACTTCCGCTTGAAAAGCGGGAGGGTATATAGTAATCGTTTATTCCGTCTGTCCGTCCGTCTGTCTGTACATCCGTTCGTTCGTCTAGCTGTCCGTCCGTCTGTTACGCTTTGGGGTACCCATCTCTTATCCGCAACTCCTCTCATACCACTGAAGGAAATTTAATGAAACTTTCGCAGAATCTTTATTACATATTGCCATTGTGCACCTCCTATTTTACTTTTTTATCTGACACATATTTTGGAATTTCAAGAGCAAAACATGGACATGCCATTATATTCATATGGAAGGCTGGGGGTATCATTTAGTGAGCTCATTGCTCACAGTACCTCTAGTTTCACATATGACAAACGATCAGGAAAAGGCCTGTATTGATTTAATAAATATGCCCCTGGTATAGCATGAATGTGTTTAAAATGGCCTGAAAGTTATAAAAAATAATTAGAGCAACACTTCTTCAAGTGAAAACACGGATGACCATTTACTTCTTATATGAACATGTATATTGAACTTGACATTTCATCGCGATGTCAATCGTGTAGATTCGATGCGAGATTTTGAGAACCACAACCGAATACACTTGGTATACACTCTGTAGAAATGTTTAACATATTATCTTTCTTATTATATTTATTTTAAAGTCTTATAATTAATTATAAATTAAATTCAAAGTAAGATATTTAAATTGCAACAGTAAATTAAATGCTCTCTCTCTCTTTTCTCCCTAGCTCTCTCTCTCTCTCTCTTTCTCTGAAAGCTGACGAAATATTGTTTTAACGCGATTGAAAAAACCTGAGGCAGTTACAAGTATTATTTCAGCAGTTTCTACAATGAAGATGGCTTTTATATATTTTTATATATATCGTGAAATACCGGTATCGGATTTTCATATCGCGATATATTATCGTGGTGGATAATACCGCAATATACCGATATACCGGTAATATTGCACACCCCTAGAATTAACGATTACTATATACCCTTCCGCTTTTCAAGCGGGGGGTATAATAAAGGTGAACAATGGCAATATATAACAAATCTTCTGTGAAAATCTCTTTAAATTTCATTCAGTGGTAAAAGAGGAGTTGCTGATAAGAGATAGGTACTCCAAAGGGTAATAGACAGAGGTACAGACAGATGGAGGGATGGATGGACATCCCAATTACTATATACCTTCCTGCTTTTCAAGGGGAGGTATAAAAATGGAGTTAAATCTGATGATTAATTTGTTGATCTCCAGCCTCCTTAATAAAGCATTTGTAATGTATATGCAAAAGTAACTATCACCTGAATAATTTAAAATGCTATATAATGCATATACATGTTATTTTTGAAGTCTCGAAAATACTGATTTGATAAAAAATATTTAATTCCCAATTAAAACCAATATGCTATTACAGTAAAACTCATGTAGTACGAACACGAATATAGCGAAGTTTTTTGGGGTCCCCGGCAAAATTCTTTACAATTCTTTGTAAAATTTTACAGTATAACGAACTCAGATATAGCAAAATCACGGAAATGGAAAACTAATTTTGAGTCCCATAGAGGTTAAAAATAATGAAATTTACATCTTTTATAATGAATTTAAAAAATCTCCAACTTAGATATATTGAACTGACTTCATATTTACACATGTAGTTAGAATTTGCAAATGAAATTTGATTCATAATAAAATCCTTAGTTAGCCAAGGTATGTTTTGTAATAATTGATTCCCTACGATATTCTGTAGTAATAATTATATTATGCTTATTGCGAATTCGCTACTTATACTAAGTTATAGGAATTCGTTATATGGATATAATTTAATTTTGATTATATTCTAGTCTCTCATTGGTTGATTTCCAAAAAGGAACACAAGAATAAAACGTAATAACCTGGTTTGGTATGGGGACACACCCCCTTGACAACCAGCTGTATCTATGTAATCCCACATTTCCAGTCCATGGAATTATATGGAAAATTCTACATTTAATAAATGTACTTTTAACTTCAAACAGTAGCTCGCTCCTACCTCGTGTAAACAAACATCGTGGCTGCTAGATCTGTGTATCAGTTATTACGTCCCCTTGTTTCAAATCACTTCCGTTACTAGGGATGTATTATTGAGCAGCAAATTTGAACTCATAAAAAGCGGCACAATTTTACATCCACAGTTGTTTAATTATTTAAAAAATTAATTAAATTATAAGGAATGACTCTAATTCTTGGCCAAATCATTCGATTATAACCTGGTTTGGTCAGTTTACGCTTTTTTATAATCCGCTTCGCGGATTATAAAGCGTAAACTGACCCAAACCAGGTTATAATCGAATAATTTGGCCAAGAATTAGAGTCATTCCTAAAATAATGTACTACGAATATAACAATTTAATTCCTAAAGATCCTGAGGACTTCGCTATAACCAAGTTTTATTGTATATTTATTTATACATTGTATACACTAAATACACAATCTACATGTACATTATTAAACATGTATATGCTTATTAAAATTTGTGATTTCTGTAGGATAGTTTTTTTTTTAATTTAATCATGCTAATTAAGTTCAACACATAAGTCATTGTTAGTAATTAGCCTTTTTTTCAGAAATATTCAGAAAAGTATGGCCCATGTTCTGATACTTCTATGCCTTGTTTGTGAAGTTTTTGCTGCAAAGGTAAGTGCTAAACAGATTAACATCTGGTATCATATATCAAAATATACCTTTTAATATTAATTGCTTTGTTTGCAATATTTATATCCTGTAGCTCACTTGAGGCAAAAGCTATACTGATTACATCATGTCCCACTACATGTATCTGAACGTAAACTTTTCACATTTTATAAAATATCTCAATAATCACTTGGCAAATTTTAACCAAACTTGCCAGAGAGCATTCTATAGTAAAAGAAATTCATATTGTCCATACTAATATTGAAGCATCCAAGGATGAGGATTTGACTTTGATCCAATCATAACTTCCTAGTAGAACTAATTTTGATTAAAAAATAAGGCCAAACTTCTAAGCAAAATTTAACAGAAATCGAAAAAAATCTGCTAATTAAGAACATCATTTAGCAAAAATGAGACTGGTGAGCATTATGGCCCATTGGCTTGTAGTTAGGCAGATGAAAAAACAGGTCTTGTCAGATACATGAAATATTTAGTATACATATGTCCACATGCAGACTCAAGTAAGTTTAGATGTGTTAACATTGAGGATACACACATATATATATATATAAGGGAACATGTATTAATGGACTAAGTTCAGTGAACCATTAATTGCTTAGGAAGGCATATATATATATATATGTCTTTTTTATATGACAACATGCATTTCAATCTTCAATCAAAATTTAATTCCTTGCTTTTTGAAAGGTTCATCATTCCTATTTGGCAATGAAGGAAAGAGATAGGAGGTCCAAAGATGCAGAATTTCCCATTCACCCTGTAGAAAAGTGTCCAATGAATAGAAAGGATTGGGATTCTGCCTCAAAGAGATTGCACTGCAATGATACTCATGGTTATAACTGTCTACCAGAAGAAACTCTATCATCCTTTGTAGAATTTTGTTATCCATTTGGAAATTGGATTTTAATTGATAAAGGTAAAGGACAAAACTATTTAAACAATTTGGTAAATGACATTTGATAGTTGATGAACTTTTGTCTTATTTGAATACTTCTGCATGTCATTATTAAAAAAAATACATATTCAGCTATAAATAAAGACTGATGTATTTATATGGATGCATATTGTTTTGCAGGAAATTGTCCACGACTTTCTTCTAATAGATTGAAACATTACACATGCCATGATTTTAAGTGTGGGTGTCCTGACAAAGACTATTACAACAATGAAATTTACAACTGTAAGGAACTATTTTAGTGTTTCAAAGAAGTGTATATTGTGCTTTTAAAACTATATTTAAAATGCTGCTTTAAATTTCATGGTGTTATGTTTATAGATCCGGTTTGCCTAAGAATATTTAAAGAGTGCTTCACATCAAATAGAAGCTGTTTGAAGGATAGGCCCCCCAACTCAGAGTAAGTATTTCATGCTGTTCTTTGGAGATGTACAGTAAATCTTGTTTATTATAAACACCACTATTTACAAAGAAATAGGCTGGACTAAGCAACTTTCTGAATTAGACAACATCCCTTCTGAGATGATCAGTTAACATGTGATATAAATTCTTTTACAACAGTATGGAAATAATGTCCTGAATTAATGCATAATGCTTAGTACTAGCTACCATTGAACAGGTAAGAGGACAAATGGATAATGAATTAAAGTAAAAAGACAATTGAGATTACTGCAGTGCTTTTATTTTATATTTTTTATTTTTTCAATTTTGGATTTTTTAGACCTGAAATTTTATATACCCGAATAAAAGTCATAGTAAAGGTTCAATTATCTCTTACTTCAATCATCACCAATCTTTTTCAACCAATGAGCTGATTTTAAGATTAATGGCCTAATATAGAGATCTAGATTAAACAAGTTTCACTTTAATATTTTCCAGTATAGGCCTTGCATCACTTTTGGTCCTCTGAATCTGGAATGTATGGTTAGGAAAACATATTTTATGACTGTGTAATTTTAAAAATGTTCCTATAGCCTGCAGAGCTATGAGTATTCACATTGATATGTGTGCAAGCATCATCAGGTTTCAGTGATTTAAAGTTCAAATTAATACCTTAAGGAGCAGGATGGGGCCTTATTAGGATATAATAGTTTTACCTAGAAATGTGCAGGAAAAATTCTCAAGGTCATTTAGTAATCAAGTATTTCAATATTCAAATATTGTAGGATACAGTAAAATTGTTCTTTTTGTGGGGTCAAATTTTAGTTGTTTGAGGAAAGGAATGTTTTCATGGTTGGAAAATGTTTTGTAGTGATGCATATGATTCATGGTGGTCATAATAATTTGTGGGTCTCCCCATTCTTAGAAAAGATTAAGAATTAAACCCCCATGAAAATAAGTGATTTCACAGTTGTGGTAATGAAAGAGCCATAGAACATTTTATAGTGACTTTCGCCTACTCTAGTAGATTTCTTAAATAAATTGTTAAACCAAAATATTGTCATACAATGTTAGTTTAAACATGTGTAAAAGGAAATCACAGAAAAATGATACTAAATACTTAGTAAATATATATAAATAATTTAATTTCAATTGTAACACATCATTTGATTGGTTAAACGGTTTTATCCATTTTGTATAACATAACTTGCCTACGTCACAATGAGTTAACGTTAAAAACGTATTACTCCGCTTGCCATTAACTTTTAAAATATGTGATATTTGAAGCCTTTTTCCGAAGGAAGAAATGGAAAAATTACCTCATTGTCTACATTGAAATTAAATTATTATAAGGAATGAAGCTTATTTCAAGTTGAAATAAGCTTCATTCCTTAAATATTCAAGAAAATATGATCATCTAACCTACATGTGTAGTCATTTAATGCATGGAGGAGAAATTCTAAGCTTTTCACTATTTGTTGTGTGATTGTGTGTTTTCTTATTTTACATTTATATAGCATGATGATGAATATCAGGGTTCTCCATGAGCTGTTTTACTGTGTTGCTTCCGACACAGTTAAATTTTCTACGACACAGTAACGATTCAAATTTAATGCTTGCGACACAGTAAAAATTTTTCCGACACAGTAAGATCTGTGATAATTAGAAAATCTAAACATAAATTCACTTATACTTAGTGAAATTATAATCAAACAATTCTACTGTCTTTCAATTCTAAATGGCGGAGCACTTAATTATTAGGGCTTCACCTTGCATAATCAATTATATCTCCTAGACCCACGCCGGACTTCACGCATGAAGGAACAAAGATAAATAATTTGTTTTCACACTTCCATGTAACGGTTAATTGGTCGATGCATTAAAATAGATTGAATAATTTTTTAAATATTTAAACGTGTTTTTCTAAAGAGCCACGGCTCTACTGTTAGTACTGTAAGTGATCAAAAAAAAAATCGTACCTAAGTTATTCCATTGATGTAAATGAACTGCTTATAATTTTCAACATGTTCAAATAAGGAAGTAGTTTACTGTACTGAAGTTTCTTTTTTGTGTAATTCGGTAATACGATTTAGAAAACTGACTAATATTCACGGCAAATTTACTCTAAAAAATGTAAAGTACTTTCGACCAGAACATGTGTTTTTACCATCAATATGTACGACCATACCATTTGTGTAACGAATTACCTTTTTTTTAAGTGTGTGCATGTATTCTTTTGTTATTATAATGAATCGGTTTCAGTTGCGATTTCGATCGCGAAATTTTAGTGCTTCGCGTAAACTCTGCAACACAGTAACATTTTAAATGATGGAGAACCCTGGAATATACATGTAGAATATAGAATATTTTAAAACATTTTTAGGTATTATAATGAATATTTTATATGCTTATTATTATTTTTTAAGATAATGCTACATTTGTAGCTGTTTCTTGGATTGGTTCTTCTAAGGATCACACTACCAAACATGCTTTGGAAGCTGAATCTTTCCAATATATTTGGGATGATTTACCGATTTAAAGTTTTTGGAGCAGCCCCATTCCCAAGTAACAAAAATACAAGGAGCTACTTTTGTTTCAGCATGCTGAATTTTACCATTTCAAGTTTTTTCGATGTTTAGCAGCTGCAGACAGATTGATTTAAGGTTTTGAAATTAAAAACAAACATGCACATATTAAAATTGATCAATAGAAATCTTTGAAATACAATTTACTCTTTTTGGATCAGCAACTCTCTTTTTCTTGTATGCATGGTGTTCCTAATGTTTTTGCTTTAAAAAGGGTAGTTAAATTTAGTTGCAATGTAACATGTTAGAAGAATTTTAAATAATGATGAGAATTAAATTGTAGAATGTTGTTAATATAAATTGTTGTTGTTTTTTTTCCTTATGGGTTTTTGAATTGAAGTTTGACACTAAACAAAGAAAAAATTTGGAATGGCCTTACTTTTTTTCAATGTTAGTTTGCATGAATACTGGACTGCTTTCATTGCTTAGCTACATATATTCATTATACTTATGTTAGCAACCTGTATTCTGAAACAGTATTCGCTATTTCAAAGGTAGGCTAGTGCTTCTAGAAGAAGGATCATTTTAGTAAAGTAGATTTAAAAAAAAAATGAATATTTTATAAGCAATTCATGCATAAAGCTAAGAATTTTTATTCCATTGATATAAAAGATGGATCATAATTAAGTTATCAGATATGACTAATTACATTGATTGGGAATCATAATTGTCTGTTTCTGGCACTTCATTACAAATGCTTGTGATTTATTTCACATTTCATTAATAAAGAGCAAACATCTTAAAGCCACTCAAAACCAGTTGTTGAAGCCTTTTTGCAAAGTGTCACCCTTCTTAAGTTGCACTATATTACTCTATAAAGAGATATTCTTGCTTTCACCATACCATTGCATTTAGAAAAATTTTTAAAACTTTGAATAGCAGACAAACTTACATTTTTCGAATATTAACAGAGAGAAAACAACAACAATATCAACATCAGTCTCAGATACAGAGCAGCAGAGAAGAAAGGAGGAATGTACAGACACAGTTTACATTGGGATCATTATTGCTTTAGTGGTGCTCTTATTGGCCTCTGTCATGGTCAACATTTGGTTCTGCTTGAAGCAACAACAACCAGGTGAGTACATTTTATAATTGTAATCTATTAAATATATGTAAAGTTTTCATTGTCTGTCACATTAGAAATAATTCCAGATTTATGAGTATTGTGACACATTTTTTTGAGAAACTCTTGAAATTTAAAACTGTAGCAAACTTTTTACAAATACTTTTACAAAAAAGTAAACTTCAAATAGTAGTATTCCTTATAAAGGTCAATATAATGTGCTCTGGACTCTAAAATAATGTTTATTGTACGACTTTGAATAAATACACATTATAAAGCATATTTGACAATTTATCTTTCTAGGATGTTTTCCACCGAGCATGTACACAAAAGTACTGAAAAATGACTTTGATATGGTACATGTAGAGAGAGGTGATAAAAATGTCCTCCTCAATAAAGTCCAAGATCCTCTTTCTGTAGGTAAGGCCTGTATTGTTTAAATGAACATACAGTGGAAGAAGAGAAATCGAATGAGGTCACAGCATGTTTTATTTCAAAATATACAAATACATCATCAGCAGATATTCAGTATGACTGACTCTTCTGTTATGATAGGAAACAGACATGATGTGACTTTGGATAAATAACACATGTTGTGTAGTAAATGTTCACCATCAACTTTTTTATCACTATAATACTGTATAGAATAAACTGTCCTTCTTTAAAAGAAATAATTAGAATACATTAGCTAAGGTAAAAATGATAATAATAGCTTATTTCATATTTTTCCAGCTTAATTTATATGTATGTGAAATTTATACATCTGTTATTCATTTAAAAACTTTAGAGCCCTGTGGGGATCCAGGTTAGAATAGGTCCTCAGTACCCCCTTGCTTGTCATAAAAGGCGACTAAATGGGGCGGTCCTTCAGATGAGACCATATAAACCGAGGACCTGTGTCACAGCAGGTGTGGCACGAGAAAGATCCCTCCCTGCTCAAAGGCCGTAAGTGCCGAGCATAAGCCTAAATTTGCAGTCTTTCACCGGCAATGGTGACATCTCCATATCAGTGAAATATTCTGGAGAGGGACGCTAAACAGCATACAATCAATCATATAAAAACTTATGACAATTTTCTTTTTTTTTCCATTTCAGGTGACATAGACAAATATGTCTTAGTGGACTACACAGTAGAGAATGAAGAAATATTTCATCTCTTGAAGATTCAGTGTCTTAATGGGGTACACATTGGGTTCCATTATGTTAACAAATCAAGAGTTTTACAACCAGATAAAAAATATATTTTCCATCAACGTGACGAAAACGGTTGTACATTACTTCATTACGCTGCTCAAGGTGGGTCAATTACAATATTTAAAGAAATTCTGAACACTGACCCGGAAATAAATATTGGAGTTAAATGTTTTCGTGGGCAAACAGCTTTGCATTTCGCAGTGAGATACAAGCAAAATAAAATGACTGAATACCTTATAACAGAGCATAGAGATTGTTTTACACAAGCAAGTGAAGATTTGCTTAGTGTTTCAAGACATAATGGAAGAGGTGAGTCAGTTACACCTTCGAACCTGACAGGCCAGTTTGAACCATTCCACTGGATAGCATGGAATGGTGATACATGGCTACATCATTTGTGGAAAGAAGCTCATTTAACTGTGACAGGTTTAACGAAGAATGGTTTAGATATCTTAGATATTGCCTGTATGAATAATCAGTATGAATTCTGTAGGCATGTAATAGAAAATGAAAAAGAAATTAATGTGGAAAAAGTAGACGCCAGTGGATGGAATTGTGCCCATTACGCTGCAATGTGGAATAATGTGAAGTTATTAGAGCTTCTGGCAAAAAAGAAAGAAACACAAATGATTTTGGCTGTGACAAAATTAGAGAAAACAGCCCTGCACATTGCTTGTGAACATGGAAATTTTGAGGTGGCAAATCATTTAGTACAGGAATACACAGATCTTCTTTGTTGCATGGATAGCCTGGAGTGGAATGCTTTACACTATGCTGCCAAGGGTGGAAATAAACAAATTTTTGAATTATTATTAAAGAAAGGTTTAAAGATAGATTATCTAACAAAGGACAAAAAGACACTTCTGCATATTGCGAGTATCTATAAGCAAATAGATATTTGCAAGTTTGTAGCCAAAACTTTTTCTGAACATCACAAAGAACTTCTGAATCAAAAGACCACAAACCAAGGTTGGTCCGCGGCTCACTATGTCGCTGTTGAGGTAAAGGATTTACAGAAACAAAAAGAAGTCATTGATATTCTACGGCAATATGGAATGAATCTAAAGGAAAGAACTAATCAAGGAGTTTCTATTCTAGATGTTGCCATTGTTTACCTTGATGAAGAACTGATAAAACTCATCGTTTCTCCTGAATACAGAGAAATTCTGGATATAACTAAAGAAGTCATTTTAAAAGGCAAGGTACATACTGATGATAGACTGATTTTAAAAATTCTGGATGATGCTGCAGAGAAAATTGAAGCTGAATGCTGATTTTTTTCCAGGCCTGTGAATACTCTAGATCTGTATATATATATTTTTTAGATCTGAATATTGCCTAATCTCCAAATTTTTTCTGAGACAACTTTATTCTTTGAAATGTTCAACAGTGTGGCTTAATTGAAAGAAAATGTTAGAAATCTTTTTAAAGGATTGATTGAATTCTACTTATAAGAATACAGCTTTGAGTTTCTAAACAATGAAGGAAATACATCTAATACTAGTATACTATTTCTTCATGCATTGTTTTCATTACAGATATTCAGCATCAGTTTTTTGAATAAATACTCATCATTGATTGAGAAGTGAAATAAAAATTAAAGATGATTTATTTGAAAGATTGTGCAATATTTTACTATGAGATTAAATCTTGTACTTTGCAAAAAATAGTAGTTAAAGCTGTTTCTAGTTTAATGAAAGTCATAGTAAACCTATAATTGTTTCTCTTTTTTATTTTTTACTTAAATGTATGTTATAATTTTAAATATTATCATTTGTATTACTTTTGTACAGTTGTTTTTTTTTAAATTGTGATCTTCATATGTGCACATATCTGATACTGGTCCCATATGAATGTTACAAATATGTTCAGAAATAAAAGTTGTTAAATCAGAAACTTTGGGGTATATTTCTGTTGTTCTGACATCCAACTTTTTAAATCTTGAATATCAGACCTCAAGTATTCATAGTTTTTGTCTGACAAAGAGTTGAAAATGCAACTTCACGTTTTCATGTGTTCATAACAAGTGTCTTTCAGTTTGTGATAAAGAATAAACAATATAATTATTATTTAATGTTAAAGTGTCATTTTATTCTCCTTTATGTAATAGGTAACAGTATACAAACTAATTATTCATATTTCAACTCCCTGTTGAAACAATTCTGAAATGATTTACTTTAGACACTGTTATGAGCAACATTATTGGTTTAAGAAGTTTACAGTTAATGATTTTACCTCAAGTTCCCTGCTGAACATGCACCTTCTTTACATACTATGTTGTCATCCACATATTCTAAATAATGTAATGTTTCAAACTTTTTACTGATCAATGACAATTTTATTGCAAAAAAAATCTTCATTTTATTGTTCATAACCAAGACACTTAAAGGTTGTAGTGGTAGTGATGTTTTCTTTATGCACATTTTAAAAACTGTTAACCGCCTTCTGTTGCAAGTTACTTGGTAAAAATTAACATATATTCCACAGTAATTCTTGTAATATATTTAGTGCATATTAGCTACTAATTAGAAATAGTATCACCATGCCGCAGAGGAGATTTTAGAGCAGTAACGTGTGACCAATTTAACAACCATGCATGAATGACTATAAAGTAATCCTGGGATATCAATGACACAGAAACAACAGACAAATCACTTTCAGTTTTAATGTAAACCCAGCAGGCACACAACATTGAATAAACTTTGAATCAACGTTGTTTTTCTATGTTAATTCAACATTGATTTTATGTTAGATTTTGAAAATTTGTATCAACGTTGAAGTCTTAATTAACATTGAAACAACATTGAAAATCAACGACTTGCCAACTCACCCGATTTCGTCGGGTCACACCCGATTTTTCAACCCGTAACCCGATTTGGTTCGTAAATTAGGTTGCACTTTTAACTTCCAGTTAAAACCCAAGCTTAGATCTACGCGTAAACAATGCCGATGGATTAATTATCGGTGCAGGTGTAAACAATTAACTGGGTGTTGTAACTGTTGTTTTGACAATTCAATGTTTGAAGTCAATTAAAATGGCTTCCGATAGAACTAGATCGTTATCAGGGCCAACAGGAACAAATTGAACCAAACACATGTCTCTGATTGAACCAAGAAAAAGAGAAACGATATTTATGTACATATCTAGGAATCTAGGGGAAAAAACTTTCATTCTAGATAAAATAAAGTGATCGAAGACTGTGTAGGCCTAACTTCACATTTAAAACACATTACAGTAGTTAATTAGTTAAGAGAGAGGAAAAATAACTTCAAAACTGGAATTGGTATACTTTCAAATTTAGCAGAAACTGAAACATGTGAAAAGGCTTTAAAAAAAAAAATGCACACTTATATACTTCTGAATCAGGTCAATATGGAAATATGAAACCTTCAATTCTCATTTTTAACATGTTAATTAAATCAAATTATATATGAATTTTTTTGTCATAGTAAATTAAATCCTTTTTCAATAAAAGAATTCTCAATACACAAATACTTTGTATATATATTATAAAATTTAATCATGGTAATTATGTCGTGAATGTCGTTACGCGTTATGACCAGATTTTTTACTTTCCAAATCTGGTCATGACCAGATTTTTACATGCTGGAGGTTGGCAAGTATGCAACGTTGATTATATGTTGAAAACAGTTGATTCAACATTTATTCAATTATTTATTTTGGAAAGCCCGGTGTCATAAAGTAATAATATACTTACTTAAAATTTCAACCGTTTTATTGCACGGTTGCTAAGATGCCTTCATAGTTGTGGAAGGGATAGCGACCCTCTGATAAGACAGATATTTCTTCCATCATATGTTTGATATCATCAATAGTAATACTACTCACAGTTTTCTTATTCAGTTTCCTTAGACCGCTGAATAGTCATATTTGATGAGATCAAGCATGTGATGGAAACATTACTTTCTATTTCTTTTGCAAATTTCTTTGTAATTGTTTTATTATAATTATTTAACAATAAAACATTTAAATCCAACATCAAATGCCTTATAAACTGAATAAGTTGTATCTTTTTAAGTACCATTTTAAAAATGGTTTAATATTTCAAGTACTTAATACAGTATTTTAACCTGTTATAAATAAGATAGAAAACGAGTTTATAAACCATTCTGTCATAAAATAAAACTGCGAAAGTTCCCCAAATATGTTGCTGAAATTCATGTTTACATTGTTTTTCACTTAGCTACGTAGCCTACGACTGCATTGCATTACATAAAATTAGGCAAAGGGAAAATCAAAGACAATGTACTATAAGACATAAAATTCAATGTTTTGTAGATGAATATGGAATTTTATTTGCTTGTGAGATAGGTTTTTTTTTTAAATATATTTTCACTCGTGCTTCGCACGTGCTGTCCCACTCGTGAAATAAATTCCATTTTCAACTACAACACATTGAATATCCTCTATATGTATACATTTTAGAAACAAAAATTAAGTTTATTAAAACACATTTAACCTATATCCAAAAATAATGTAAAGTCTGGCATTTATTTTTATGATGGGATATATATAAAATAAACAGGTATAAAGCCCAAAAAGTCACAAATTAAATGTGTATCATTGATAACATCAAAGGTAGGATTAAGTGTCATGGAGGAGTAAACATCCCCTTTTGACTGGTTAAGTTCAGTTGCTCCTTTCAACGGAGAATAATTCTCCGTTATAATATACTGAGCAAAATAAGTTTAGCAATTATTTTTCCATAGGTATAATTTGAAAAAATATTTGTCTAAATTGTTTTATTTTGTTTTTACTTAAAGTCAATATGGAAAAGGGTAACAAAAAACACACTTCTTTTTTTAACAACGTGCGGAAATGGCGTCGTCCAACGTTGTGAAAATTAACAATACAAATGGACATGCTCGAACGCACACGGTCCTGGAAGAATTTTTTTACTTGAAAAGCCCCTCGAACACACTTGTTAAAGAAAACCGGTGAAAAATTGCAAAAACGTCTAGTTGGGAAACGTCCAGGACTTTTCAAAAATAAACATCAAACAACTATATATAGAGATGCTAAGGCCGGTTGCTCACAAAAAGATCTCGTTGAACACTTTCTTATGCATCCTTTAACCATATGTCGACTTTTAAATCGATCCGGGACCACTTGACGTGTTAGTGATTGTCAGCGCTCAAGACGTCCACGAAAAAAGACGGTAAGTCAAGATCTTTTTACTGTTACAACGTCGAGACGTTACCGTTTCATGGCTGCTACTATAGTTACAGAAAAATTACGCCGTGCAACTGGACTGAGGTTATGTGCACAAAGTGTAAGAAACCATCTAGGTTTAGCAAATCTTCCAGCTCAAAAACCTCTCGTAGCAGTACCACTAACTCAACGTCATCGACAGTCCCGCCTCGCATGGGCAATGTCCGTCCGCATACCGCACGACACACAAGCTCTCCTTCGTCAGAATGATGTTAAGATCTTTGATTGGTCCGCGATATCGCCAGATTGTCAGCAATTAAACACGTTTGGGACATTCTTAGTCGTCGTTTAAGACGACATAACGTCAACAACGTAGCGGAACTGACCCTTGTCGTGCAGCAGGAGTGGAACCAGATCACTATGCTAGAGATACAAAACCTTAGAAGGAGCCTAAGACCCCGTTGTGTTGTTGTTATTGCTCCAATTGGAGGCCTTACACAATATTGGAATTGAATCTGACTTTTCAGACCCGTATGAGTGATCAGTTTTACGATATTTCTTACAAAACAACACACAATTGTCGATAAAATTTGTTTCATTTTGTTATGTGATGACAAGCTCACTTCAAAATTTGATTTTGAGTGCTGTGTCTATTTTTTTCAACTTTGTTTTATGATAAATATCTTAAATTGCTAAACTTATTTTGCTCAGTATAGTTAAAAGTTTGACAGGATAATAATATATTAATCTAAAAAATATATGACAAAGTGTTAATTAGTTGTTTAGCATAGTGAATAATACAAAAACGTAGTCTAAAATATGAGTAAAACATTACAAATAGTAATAAAACAGGTACTGTTTCCATTCTTTGTAATTACATCTTTTGTGACCCACAGTGACTTTCACTAACAAGAATAATTTCAAATTCCTTGATAGACTATTATATTTCTTATTTCAGCGCAAATTAGTGACTGTGTTTACTACAAGTATGAAAGAGATTTTTCTGTAGAATCATTTGAGAAAAAAAATGACAGGTTTTAGCTATGTGGAATTCCTGAATAGAAGTTTGAGACAGTAAAAAACTTACTCAATCGCTTTTGTATTCAGAATGTAAATCATGCATGCATGATTTATTGAATGCCCATCCTAAATTAACCCAATAAAATTCAACTATCAAAATTCATTTTAAGAATTCAAGGGCATAGATTATATGGCATTTTTTCTTTAGGCTTTTTAAGAATTAAATATAGATGAGCTTGCATAACAAAGAGATGTACTGAAATTAATAATATAGACCATGATGGCCAATAAAGAGATGAAAGTTAAGTATGTAATAAATATAATAAAGCATATCATATTGACCAATATCAGCCCTCGGGCCATCGGCCCTCTGGCAGATATTGGTGTCTCGGGCTGATACAGGATGTGATATGGAAAAGGGTATGTATTATTTTCCACGTGGAGTACAAAATGGGGATCAATGTCTACAGTTCCATCTGTTTTGGCCTCTCTATCCTATAATGGCTACCTACTCGTGTACAGACGTCACAGGTAATTCCTGCACATTTTTGATTTATAAGTCATTGACAACGTTGACAAATATACAGATACGCTCCAAACTTGTCAAAATCAAGACCCAAATCCAACAGGTGCATATACTCAGTACCTAAATACCTAATTAGACGCCAATATAAGATTATCGTAGACATTTTCGCAGGGCTTTCTAACGTTAAAATGTTGAATTAATAATGAAAGCTTCACCAGAATAGGGGGGACCACTCAGTGATTGAATATAATAGGTAAGTACCTTTTTCATTTATAAATTTAATTAATTTTATTTAATCATGTATACGTAAAGTTTAGTGTGAAGCGAAAAGGAAACTATAGTCATTGTAT